GGGGGAGGGAATAGCAAAAAGGAAAGAGGAGAAAGGGTAGTGATTGCAGTAAAAAATGCTATCCAGTGTGGGATTTGAAACATTTGAAATTATAAGCTTTGAAGCTGATCTTGAAATTCAAAGAAGTTAGAGAAGATACATTTAAAATATGATTAGGATTCTGTTAGATCCTTTGATTTCCCAACATTTTCATACTTGTAATGTTGAAGTGACGAAATAGTTGAAGTCTTCAACAGAATAACCCTAAGGCGTTTCGGTTGTTTGGGTAGCAGGATTTCCCGCTGCAAATATTAGCCCTTACAGGTGTATTTAGGTGATGAGTAGATGAAGTACAAAAATATGAAAATATTGGAAAGCTATTTTTGCTTCAGGTTTCTTTAAGAGAAATAATACACACACACACACACATACGCAACAGCTTAAATTTTGGTTTCTTTGGTTAATGCAGTTTTTAATGCTGGTTCTTGAATGCCCTTGTCTTCCCCACTCAAACACACATGAGTAAAATGGACAGCTAAGAGAAAGGGATAATGATTTCAGAGGAAGAAGGTGATATGAAGACTCATTTTTCCACACTCATCTTCCTCATTACACTTTCATGCCTGTGAGCAGCATGCTTCTGCTATCAAGAGGAAGTGTCCAGAGAAGGGTGTGCCAATCTAGTCCCCAAGGAAAGAAAAATATCAGGGCCAAAAAAGAAGACAGTTCCCAGAATAACTCATTGACTCAGTCTGTTGAGACAGTGGGCACATCCAGACATGCAGGCATGTGTGGTTTGTGGCATTGCAAACCTCTTTGTGCCGCCACAAACCACACGCCCAAAACATTAAGACGTGCCCTGCGCTGCAGATCTGCAGCATGGAGGCAAAATTTGCTACCATGTTTTCCTGGTAGCAAAAAAAAAAACAAACAAAACCAAAAAAACCCACTAAGGGGAAAAAAGCAACAAACAGAGGCTTGGTCCGCTAGGGAGACACTCTGGCTGTTGGCCAGAGCATCTCTGCTATTTCGTTTGTGCTCCAGCATGGCGGGAGCAGGGAAAGGCCAGTTTGTCTGAAGCAGGACAATTGTCTCTCACCAAAGCACATGTGCAGGGGTGTGAGCTGTGGCACAAAGTAGTGGCACAAATGTGTGCTGCTGCTATTTGTACCCTTGGAAGCACATGTCCCTGCACATCTAGATGCGGCCAGTAAGTTCTAATATTATACCTTTTGGTTTTGTATTTTAGCAAACCGGAGGTAATACATGGGGAAGAAGTGGGGAACTCCTAGTCCCATGAGTCAACAGCAAATGTCCTCTTGGAGTAAGGTCAGGATTTTGCTCATTGCTTTTGTCAGATTTTTTTTTTTTTTAATTCCAGGAACATTCTGTTAAGAGACAGACTTGGTATAGCACTGGCAGTCATCTGGTTTCTTTGCTGTCAATTGTCAAGCAATTTTTAAAAATAAAGCAACAGGTTAACAATTTTGAAATTAGCTGCATTTCATCTTGGAGTATATCTATGTGTTGCATGTAGAACATAGGCACTTTGTTATTTTTTGTTAAGACCCCCCAATATTAGTTTTATTTTTCTTGTAACGTGACTGGATCAGAAAGATAATTCCAATTAAAAAATGTATTTGCTTTTAGTTTGCCTCGCTGAGTTTGCCTATGCAAATAATCAAAGATAATTATTACAAAATTGAGATTTCAAGCTACAAAATGTAAGCAAGCATCACCACATCAAAAGGTATTTTTAAAGTAATTTGGATGCAATTAAAGCAAAATTGAGGTGCTAAAGTAAATTCTATTAATTTGTTCAGTCTTGACTTTCCAAGCGCTAGAGCTTTAGCTGTAAATATTTTCCTGTGCAAGTGATATTTATCGTAGCCTAACGTACCAAAGTAAATTGCAGTACACTTGCATATGAAATTAAATTACGATTGCAATTTGAAATTTGAAATTAAATTACCCCTAAAACATTTATATTTCATGTTAGATGGAAGCATTTGTTTTTATCATAATACGTTGATATTGTTTGCTGTGTGTGCTGTCTGGCCTCTACTTCACAAGAATTAAGATATTATACAGAGTATATATTATACAGATATTATACAGTTGAACCTAACAGTTTTATAATTTGTATAAAACTTGATGTGACTTGTGCACATCTGTTTTTTTATAAATGTCAAGCTGCTTTCCAAAAAGACATATCTAGCATTTAGGTGGCCACATGAAAGTAGAAGATTGTTAATGCATCACTTCAAAAATGTATGGCAGACGAGCAGGAAGCCCGGTAGTGAAGACGGCATCTTGCCTGTAATATTCTTTCCTCTGAAACAGGTAGTACAGATCAAAATACATTATAACGATGTTGACAGGTATGTTTTGACACATCAAGGCTCTAGGACTTCATTGTTTAATTAAACATGCACACTAAAAATGGTAGTAGAAATGATTTAAAGACTACTTGCAACATGGTCTAAAGCTGTTTACATCATTTTTTTTTTACTTCTAGTAGTCAAGGTGTGGAGAATACAAAATCTTCTTAAAGGCATCTTATTTTTTTTTAGGAGAAATGGCATCCCTCATTGGTCTGATGGAAGTGAAGGTGGTACCCTTCCCTATTCAGTTCCCCATCCTGAAACAAGTGTACATCTAACACAGGCTACTTCACCTGGAACCAGGAGAAGTTGTCCGAATTATAGGACTACAAGGAGATGTTTTCAGCAAATATTTTTAAACGCCTTGAGCAGTTATATTTAATTTGGCTGATGGAATGGTGATAGACATTCAAAGGTGTCTGGCGTAGTTCAGCTGGGAGCAGGGAAATGGTTGAAAGAATCTCACCAAAAAAGTATAAGTTCAATTCTGAACAGGAAAAATTGAGTAATTAACAAGAATATTTTTGCATCGTATTTTATAATGGGATTCTTAGTGGAGAATAAGATGGATAATGGTGAAGAAAGGTGCTTATTCATAAGATCAACAAGAGACAAAATCTACAGTATGCTTCTGTCCCAAGTCTAGCTAAGCATTCGGAGTGAAATTTTGGGCCTACTGAAGCCAAATTCTGACTTACAGGGACCAGGATTTCACTTGAGGATGTTTTGAAGCTATTGGAGCAGCCATCTTCTACTGCTGTAAATTGACATGGCTGTGTGGAAGCTGATGGAGTTAAACAAATGTATGGCAGCTGAAGAGGTGCTCCATTCTCTCTATCCACCTGTCTACTTAAGTTAT